TCCATATATGTTTATTACCTTGATGATGAGAAAAGATTAGTTTTGATGATATAACATGGTTGTAGTAGGGACGAAACTCATAGTCTGATGATATACTATTTCAGTGTTGGGGTTTTTGTTTTGTTTTGTAGGTTTAACATTATCCTTTATGTGAGCTTACCAGATGGAGACTTGACTCTTTTTTTTTTTTTTTTTGACAGGCAGAGTGGACAGTGAGAGAGAGAGAGACAGAAAGAAAGGTCTTCCTTTGCCGTTGGTTCACCCTCCAATGGCTGCCGTGGCCGGTGCACCACACTGATCCGATGGCAGGAGCCAGGTGCTTCTCCTGGTCTCCCATGGGGTGCAGGGCCCAAGCACCTGGGCCATCCTCCACTGCACTCCCTGGCCACAGCAGAGAGCTGGCCTGGAAGAGGGGCAACCGGGACAGAATCCGGCGCCCCGACCGGAACTAGAACCCGGTGTGCCGGCACTGCTAGGTGGAGGATTAGCCTAGTGAGCCGCGGCGCCTGCCGAGGCTTGACCCTTCCTACCAGCAAAAGTGCTGCACATTTTCAGCCCTTCTCTCACCTTACCGAATGCGTGGTTCCCCTGACTCTGGGGTGATCTTGCTTTATGGTGAAGACAACGTCCCTCCTGCCCCTCCGTTGCCCTCCGCCTTCCCCACACCTTGCTGCAGCAGGGTCCCAGGTTTTCAGCGTCTCTCTATTCTGTGCAAGCTGCAGAGGCTCCCTTGGCCTCCATTCCCCATAGTAACTGCTTTTACTCTCTCCATCCCTTACCACCAGCTTCTCAGAGGTGCAGTCCACACACTGACTCCTCCCTCACTCCCCCCCAACCCCCGCCATTTGGAACTATTTGGCTTCTAGAACCGTTTTCTCAGAGATATCCAATGATTGATTCAGAGGCATTTCTTGGTTACTCAATTATCATACTGTTCTACCACCCTTACCTAGAAGGAGGGGTGTGTGGGGGGTATAAGGTCATGTGTCAGTATAAGCTCATGTGTGCTTGTATCCCTGGTTACTAATTTAGGTGACAAAGTAGATTTTTCTCAAGCTGCAAAATCAGACGAGAAGAGGGTGTAGAGAGGAGAAGGAACTCCAAGTCACAAAGGAAGTGTTAGAAACTTCACTAAGAGATGAGCAAAACGAAAGGATGATAAAGGTAAAAGTGATCAATCCCCTGATAAAATGAGAGGTGGGTGTAAGAAATCGGATTGGGTTTTTTCCTCTTCCTGTCCACATGGCGTCTAGAATATTCACCTACACTACCACAAAGAAGGCTCATCTAAACAAGCATTACTTTTTAGCCCAGTCTTGGGCCAGGGCTGCTCTTAAAAACCAACAAGGTGTGGACAGAGCTGGCTTGAGCATGTCCACAGCTGATCCAAGAGACTGTCTCCAGGGAAGGTGCCACAAGAGGGTCTTGGACATCATGTGTGAGATTGAGCCCTGCCAGCGAGCTAATGAAATGAGTTTTCTAAAAGCTCCAAGCTCAGCAGCAGAGTGGGAGGCTAATTTCCTGACTCACCTATTCGACTCGTTTGTGGTCCTGGCAAAATATTCCCTCTTGTAGGGTACACTGCCTGGCTTTATTTCTAAGCTATTCCATGTCTTCACAGAGTAGATAGGAATGTGCACAGTAATAGCTTTTTCTTTTGTGTGGGATATCGTTTATGAAATGAAGTTCAGTTCTTTGTTCAAAGGCATCGTGGGAATGTCAGAATAGTTTTTGAACAAAACTGGATATTCATATAATAGCCTTTCGTCTCAAGGGCAAAGAGTTCTTGTTATAAAAAATGCAGTCCATTCCCATAAGGCAGAATGGATGCTATAAGGGGACAAGCAGAGAAAGAAGCCAAGACTGTACATCCCTGGCCATGAGCTAGGAGACCTCCAAGTCATCTGCAAAGCAAAAAAGGTACAAATAAACATCTACAGAGCTTAAAATCAGGAATAGTGCTGCCATGTCATAATGTTCCACTATAGAATAACCTTACTGTGTGGTGGGGTTGCTTTTGGACTGGAAGTTAAGTTGCCTCTGTCCTATATTAAAGTGTCTGGTTTTAATACCCATTTCTCCCTCACGGCTCCAGCTTCCTGCTAATGCAGACCCTGGGAGACAAAGGTGATGGCTCAAGTAGTTGAGTTCCTGACACTCATATGAGCAACCTGAAGTAAGTTTCTGACTCCCAACTTACACCCTGGTCCAACCTTGGCTGTTTCAGATCTTTGGGGAGTAAACCAGTGGACAGCTCGCTCTCTCTCTTGCTCTCGCTCTCTCTCTCTCATATCCAGTCTCTCTCTGCCTCTTACACAAATAAATATTTTTAAACGAATAATTTTACTTTTATTTCACAAGAGTGCACCAAAAGAGAAATGCTATTAACTACCCCCCCATTGAAACCTTGGTGGGGGTCTAAATATTTTTTCTGATTTTTTTTCATTTCATTTCATTTCATTTATTTATTTATTTGTTTGTTTTTTTGACAGGCAGAGTGGACAGTGAGAGAGAGAGAGACAGAGAGAAAGGTTTTCCTTTGCCGTTGGTTCACCCTCCAATGGCCGCCGCGGCCGGTGCGCTGCGGCCGGCGCACCGTGCTGATCCGAAGCCAGGAGCCAGGTGCTTTTCCTGGTCTCCCATGGGGTGCAGGGCCCAAGCACTTGGGCCATCCTTCACTGCACTCCCTGGCCACAGCAGAGAGCTGGCCTGGAAGAGGGGCAACCGGGACAGAATCCGGCACCCCGAGCGGGACTAGAATCCCGTGTGCTGGTGCTGCAGGCAGAGGATTAGCCTAGTGAGCCACAGCACCGGTCTTCATTTCATTTTAAAGGCAGAGGGAGAGAGAGAGAGAGAGCGAGAGAGAGAGAGAGAGAGAGAGAGCTCTTCCATCTGCTAGTTCACTGTCGAAATGCCTGCAACAGCCAAGGCCTAGGTCAAAGTCAGGAGTCTGGAACTTCATCCAGGTCTCCCATGTAGGGGGCAGGGATCCAAGTTCTTGAGTCACCATGTGCTGCTTCCCAGGGTGCACATTGGCAGAAGGAGCCATACTCAAGCACAGGCACTCCTCTATGGGGTGCAAGTGTCTCAAGTGGCAACTTAACCACTACACCAAATGCACACCCCCACCTCCCCCAGGGATGCAGTGTCTTGACTCTACCCAGAAAGGAGAAAGAGCTTAGCAGAAGTGCTTCCGACCCACCTCCCACCCTTAGTTGCGAAGGCCAAGGGTTGTGTCAGAAGTTAACAGCCACATGCTAGAAGGGAGTAGATCTCTATCATTTTACTTCATATGATTTATAAGACCTATTCAGCCAGAATAATAAAATTGATTCTATGCCTGGTAAAATGGGATCTGGCAAATTGTCCTGCCAGTTCAGGACATTTCATTTCTTTCTCTTTTTTTTAATTCTTGCAGTATCTTCTTTTTAAAAAATGTTTATAGTTTTAATTGACAAATAAAAATTATTTGTATTTATGGCATTCAACATGATGTTTTGAAATATGCATACATTGTGGAATGGATAAATCAGGCTAATTAATATATACATGACCTCACATGCTGATCATTTACTTGTAGTGAGAATAATACTTAAAATCTACTCTTAGCAATTCTCAAGTGTGTGTAGTTATTAATTATAACTACCATGTTGTATCAGTAGATCAAAATCCAGAGTCATTCCTTGATGCCCTTAAGCAACCAGGCCCACCAATTCCCCACCCCAGGATCTTGGGGGTGCTGTCTATTCTGCTCCACCTTCATTGACATTAAGTCCTATTCTTTCCCCATTAAAGGCTTACTATGTTGCAGCCTTAATGCTGAGGGTAGTGACACACAAACAAAATGAGAAGCAATGAATAGTGAAGTAGCCAGCACTGTGGTGGTTGACCTATCAGAACTCCAGGCTAAGGATGAGCAGGAGGTCAAGGGCCTGAATCCCGTGTCCTGGAGCAACTCGACTCTTATAGAGACTATTGGGAAAGCCTCCAGCAAAAGCCTGCCTCTGCCCTCTGGCCTGCTGTCCAAGCTCCATTTTCAAAGTACAAATGGATTGTGCTAGCCCTCTTCTTAAAGCTCTTCCATGACTCCCCATTGTGCAAGACATGCTCCAGACTTCCTGATAACACTTAGAAAAACTTAAACTCAACTTACCTTCCAGCTTTTTTTCCATAGCACTCTCATACAACGCAGTTACTAACTTCACAGTCCATGAAACAGGAAAGAACACAAAGAAGTGGCACTCTCCATACTTCCTTAAAACTTTATATCATCAGGATTATTTTCAACCACCCTCTTTTCTCCTTGGTAATCAATTCAATGGATCATTTTCTTAATGATTGCTGTTCACACTTTGCATAACTTTCAGATATCAAGACACTGAGTAGTTTTGATGAACACAGATAATCACTGTGTGATTACTTACTGTCTTGATGTACTCACAAAGCCTCATAAAAATACAAGGCACTGAGTAACCACAGAGCAGGCTGCCAGGAACAGGCACTGGGGTCTCCCTCTTAGGGTCATTGGATCTATCTTCCTCGATGCGTATGAAATCAGGGGAGGGTGAAAACCAGGTGCTGACCTCCTTTTCCTTACGGGAGTAGGCTATTGCAACAATACTCATCAAAAGGCAATGGTATTTGGGAAAGTGTGTGGTGTCTTTGGGAAGCTACGGCGAGTGCGAGTTCTCTGTGGCTTGTGGAAAGCAGCAAAGAGGGCAGGCAGTGATGTTGTTGAAGGTAAGCCAAGTGTCGGTCATAGAAAACTTGTATCAAGGAGCTCACACTTTCTCTATAAGCAGTGAAGGGCACAGAGAGTTCTCTAGTTAGGGGAGCGGCATGATTAGATGATTTATGAATAAAGATCCAGTGTTGTTATAAGTGGCGGATTTGAGAAAAATAGGCCCCTAGTTAATACTTTCACCAAGCGGCTAAAACCAAAGAAAACGCCACGGCTGTGTCTCCACTAACTCCGTGTATTTGCGTGTGTGTCTCCCTAGTGACGGTGCTGGCCATTTTCCATGAACTGCACGTTGACCCGGACCTGTACACACTCCTGTTTGGGGAGAGTGTGTTGAATGATGCAGTGGCCATCGTACTCACCTAGTAAGTACCAGCACTTGGCCTGTGTTTCTTTAACCAAGTGAGTCATGCCTCCACTGGGAGATCATTTCTGATGACTTTAATGCTATGTTTTCTCTTCTGTCATCGAGACATAGGCAATTACTAGCTTTTAAGGAATTGTTATCACAGAAAATCTCCAATAATGGGCACAATTCATTAGGTGCCTAATTTCTAATACTATGAATGTTTTTTCCTATTTCCAGCTTATTAGAAGATGCTACCCAGAGGGTAGCATGTTTTCTTCTCAGTGCGTATTTTTAACTGATGCACTGAAGCTTCTCAAATGCATAGAAATGAGATTTCTTCGTTTCAAATAAATATTATTTAATTTTTCCCCTATACAAGTCACTTTCCAGATAATAGACTGAGAGAAACCCCTATATGTACAGTGAGTTTGGCAGACCGGAACTAGAAGCTGAGGGTCAGAATACTCTTTTTATTTCTGAATACAAATGTAATGCTTTGTAAGAATGCACACATCTTTAAGCCATTCTATGCCAAATGAAATTGATGGAGCTTCAAGAGCCAATGTAATTTCCCTTCATGCTGGAAGAATTTTCTTTTAGGAATGAGAACCAGTGCTCTTTCCTCACCTCTCCTTTAGACACTCACCATTTATATTTAATAAATGCCACTTCGGTGGCTTTCACTATGTCAAAGGTCTCTTCTTGGTTTTAGATTAAGATCAACATTTTGGGCAGTTGTCAGATAGCCAAAAGGAAAGTAACGGTCTGATAATTTAATGGGACCACAGGATTCTATTTAGGGTGTTAATTACTTCAAATGCAGTTGAAAATATATTGTGAAGTAACAAAGGATTTTTAAAAGTCAGATCACACAGAGGGAAGTCAAAAACAACAGAGCAGTTCTACTCTTTTCTTTGTGTTTTACAACTAGCTGACATTTTTGAAGGCTACCACCCCAAATTTGCCACTGATCTCAGCAACTTTCAAGTTTGAGTCTCCAAAAGTACTGATATTTCACCTGGCCACAGAGAAGTGTCTTTCTAGCATTAAAGGGAAATATCAGCAAGTGCAAATTAAGAGCAAAAGTCATAGGCAAATTCACAAATGCTAAAAGATGCTTTTCAAGAAACACCAAGAACAATTAATTAGAACATCAGGAATCCTTGTCCAAGAAATATTAGCATTAAAGGAACACTTGAACTAATTTTTTTTAAATCTGCTGAATCCCTCATTTTTACTTCCTGAGCTGCCAAGCTGTAAAAGGCCAAGCAAAGCAAAACCACTAAAGTGCAAATGAGCTTGGGAAAGAATCGTGCAGCTTCAATCGAGGGAAGGATTGGCCTTTCTGCTTCTGGCATCACCATTCACAGCAGTTTTCCACTGAAAATACAGACTCTAAGGAGGAGGGTTGATGCCATTGAGCACCAAGCCTGGAGGGCATTTGAAAGCATTTATTTCATGTCTGTCCCAGTCAGTACATGGTTATTGCTGGCAATGCCTCTCCTACTCCTCTACTCACGTCTTAAGAATGTCTTAATCATACAATGTGCTTCACAGTCTGGCCAGATCTCTTTATTTCTAGACATGGATTATATGCTATTCTAACTGAAATCTTTGTGCTCCCAAGCTTTGGCAATTCCAGGATTGTGCAATGACCCCAGTGAATTCCAATTTCAAATGAAGTTAATCCTAAGGAAGAGCTTGGACTCCCAAAAGCCTATACACTGGAATCTACAGGCTCTTTTTTTCACATGGTGCACTTGAGCCCCACCAGCCCCTCCCATCAGCTCTATTGAGTGATATGTACTTACTATGTCTGGGGTCCAAACTATCTGTCCACCAAAGCTATCCGTCACTTACCACTTCCTCCTCCATGCACAAGTGTCTCTGGTTTGTTTGCTTCCCATATTTTCCTTCTCACTTGCTTCTGAACCTTAGTTTACAGCACACGTAATCATCTCTGCATCTTCTTGCACACACACACGTGTCTTCTCTTTGTACTGCCCCATCCCCACACTCTTCCCACTACGTTCTGATGCTCTTAGGAGAGTCCAACGTATGTATCAAATAAAGATTTTCTGTCACTTTCATACTGAAAGTTCACACACTTGTCTCTCCACTTTTTTTTCTCTTTCCACTAAACCTGACAGGTGGTACCTCTATGCTTTTGCACAAAGCTTATTCCTGCTGGATTGCTCTCGGCAGTGTCTGGCTCTAGCTAACCAAGTTGTTAAATTCTTACCTGTCTCCTTTTCTTGGGAGCCACCAGCCTGCAGGCTGCGTCCTGCTTCACCATTGTGTTTGCCTCCATCATCTGTCTCCAGCACAGCATAGCACACATACAAGGTTTACATGTGTATTTGCCTTTCTAGATAGTAATGTTCTGAAAGCAAAGTCTGTGAACTTAAAGTATGTATTAAAAGAACAAAGGAAGCACTCTGGTTTTTTCCCTTTCATAGTTTCACCTTTGTGTGGTTTTGAAGTTCAAGAATAGTGATAGAGGCCAGCGCCGCAGCTCAATAGGCTAATCCTCCACCTGCGGCGCCGGAACACTGGGTTCTAGTCCCAGTCAGGGCGCCGGATTCTGTCCCGGTTGCCCCTCTTCCAGGCCAGCTCTCTGCTATGGCCTGGGAGTGCAGGGGAGGATGGCCCAAGTGCTTGGGCCCTGCACCCCATGGGAGACCAGGAGAAGCACCTGGCTCCTGGCTTCGGATCAGCGCAATTCGTGTGGTGGTCGTTGAAGGGTGAACCAACGGCAAAGGAAGACCTTTCTCTCTGCTCTTTCTCTCTCTCTCTCTCTCTCTCTCTCTCTCTCACTGTCCACTCTGCCTGTCCAAAAAAAAAAAAAAAAAAAAAAAATAGTGATAGAACTATCCTTGAATCATGGAGAAGACAAGTTATACATTTTGATGTGAAATGAGATATATACTAGTCTCAAGTTTTCACGAGAGGTATGTTCCTTGACCTCCCCCCACCCCAGTGCATCCCTGAAACCAGATTGGACCAAGACCCATATGGACTCTTTTTTCCCACCTGATAATTTTAAATTTTGTAGAAAAATGGAATTAAAAAATATTTTGTCAAAAAAAGAAAAATTACACCTTGTTAAAAAAAAGATATTTTGTCACAAAATTTTGACATCCATGCATGGGTTTTTTTCATAATATTCATTGTGAACTTTTGAAGACCACTCATATATACAAACATATCATCAAATTTCATTTATAAGTTAGGCATAGTAAAAAACCAGCAATAATAAAATAGAACAACCATAATAAAATACTATAGTAGAAGTTATATAAAACATTTGAATAGTTTATTTCTAGAATTTTCTATTAATATCTTTTGGACTGCAGTTGGTCTTGGGTATCTGAAACTGCAGCAAGTCAAATGCCAGGTTTTGGGTGACCACAAACCAAAACCCAAATCATTGAGATTTTGGCCCTTGGCAATGCTTCAGAGGAACCCTGTTGGAAGGCCACACACTTTCATTTACCCTCCCATCTTCTGCCAGCAAATTCTCTTGCTTAAGAATCATCCTATTCAGTTTTAGCATTTTTAGTTACCAATGTTATGACAATGTCATGCTCTAGAATTTAGCCACATTTTAAAAGAAAGCAGCTTTCCTTTGCTAATCTAAGAAGCAAATCAGCTCTGTTGAGTGATGTCTTGATGTCTTGGGTCTGAACTGTCTGTCCACCAAAGCTTTCCATCAGGCTAAAGGTATTCTGATTTGTAGATGATTACTTTAGAATTGAATTTAATGAGTACAGCTTTACATAGCAATGGGTGACGGATGCTACATCATGTGCCCATGATTAAAAAAACAGAGTTGCTTGACCTAAAATAATAGTAACTTTTTTTCACACCAAAGTTTTGACATTAGCTTGTCTATGACCCAGACTCTTATTTATAGTATACAAGAAATGTCTTCCCAAACATGGATGCATATTAGTTCACAAATGAATTCTATTTGATGGGACTGAATTTCTACAGGTTGCTTCATAGGCTTTGAAGGAAGGCAAAATACACGTTAAAGAACTCTTGTGGGGTGTGTGTTTTGAATCCTGAACAAAAGCATTAATTTAAGAGGCAGCACTGTAGAATAGAAAAAAGCTGAGGTTAGAAGTCAAAAAATCTGATGTCAGGATTGACATTAAGTAGCTGTGCAATTATAATAGTTGGCAGGAAACCAACCCAAACTGTGATGAACAAAAATGGAATCTGTGTTAACTGATTTAACTGGGCAGGTGAAATGAGAGGGCTCTTGCTTTCCTCACTGACCTGCTTCCTGGTTCATTCCCTTCTGGTCACAAGATGGCTGCCAACCTCTCTCAGGGCCATTTCCTGCTTCAGGAAAATAGAGCAAGAATCTTTTCCCACCATTCCTATCCTGAATTTAGTAAACCTTTTTGATTCTGATGCAGTTGTTGTAGACCTGTTTGGAAGTAATCAACATGGCCAAGGTGGTAGGCTACACTTACTGGCGCAGGCCTTAGTCCCATGCTCCAATGAGTTCCAGAGAGAATAATAAGCTGCATTTTGAAGCACATGAGCTGAGATGAGGGAAGGCAGAATTATAGCTGGCGTAATATTGCCATGAGAAAGGAGAAGTGGGTGCTAGGTAAAAGCACAGCAAAACAAAACCTCGGTGACCACTGCAGGAATTTTATATGATTATAAGCTTTCTATAATTGCTTTCTTATCTATAAAATGTAAAAATAATTATTCTATATCCATTAAGAATGATTCTGAGAAGCAAATAAGGTAATTTGGTTGAAAACTCTCTGTAATCTCTATAATACATATAGTCTGTACTGTATAAGTATAAATACAATTTATATCAATATCTTTCATTCCTCTTACATAGATCTCTCTGGTTTCATTAAAATGATTGAAGTCAAAGCTACTTCTGGTGAAACATTCCTTCATAAATATGGCATTTAATGATCTAAAGAATATAGAGAATAACCATTTTTACGTGTGATTTCCCCCATTAGGAATGAACCACTTAGT